AAATAATACAATTGTCGCAGCGCCGTGGTGCTTCCAAACTCATTGGTGCAAGAAACTGGATTGCTTCTGGCTCCACCGCAAGACCTGTGACCTGTCCTGTCCTCCTGACTCAGGTTGATACAAGCCAATTATCCTGTAGGCTACAATAAATGACTCTAAATGTATGTATATTCAGTTGTAATGTAAAAAATGAACCGAAAGCTATTCAACACGAGACGGTTCTTGTTTGACCGTACCGATTTCTAAACCCCGGCGCTTCGTCGTTTTCTGGCGGGTGGTTAACACGGCAACCCATATTTTGAGGAAGGCAGGATGTCCGAGGAGTCGTGGATTAACTCTGAAAACATCACTAATACCGATGTTTTGCTCCACTTGGCGCGGCTGGCGGAGCATGCCGAACGCTTTACGGATATGGCTGCAGCAATGAAGAAGGTTACCGAGACTAAAAAGCCTCTTGGCAATGAAGAACGAAACCTTTGTTCTGTGGCTTATAAAAATGTAGTTGGAGCTCGTCGTTCTGCTTGGCGTGTGATATCTAGCATTAAATGTAAGGATGCTGACGATGAAAAATCTCCAATTGCCGAACTACGAAGAAAGATTGAACAGGAGTTGGAGGACGTATGCAACGAGGTCTTGGTACGTCATTTTCTAGTTTTTTATGGACCTTTAGACCATGCTTGATAAACATTTACTTCCTAATGAGACTACTCCAGACGGTTGTGTGTTCTATCACAAAATGAAGGGCGATTATTACCGCTATCTCGCAGAGGTTCAAACTGGTGACAAGAGGAAGGAGGCCGTCGCGCAGTCTCACAAAGCATACGAAGAAGCTACCAAGAAAGCCAACGAGTCACTGAGTGAGACCCATCCTATACGGTTAGGATTGGCCTTGAACTACTCTGTCTTCTTCTACGAAATTGAGAATGATCCTGAAAAGGCCTGTGCTTTGGCTAAGACTGCTTTCGATGAGGCTATTAGCCGACTTGATCAGATTAAAGATGAATCCTATAAGGACAGCACCCTTATTATGCAGCTCTTACGGGATAATCTCACGGTAGGTCCTGTGAATGCATCTCTCATTACTGAATTTCAGTTGTGGACTTCGGAACGCGATCCCGAGTGAAAGTGGATATGAAGATGTTCGGTTTGACTCAAATCCGCGCCCTGGCTGACAGTTTTGTTTATCCTTTCCGCTCCATTATAACTATGATCAACTAGCATTGCGTTTTAAATCTGGCATATCCTCCTTTCATTGTCTAATGAGCGGTGGTCGTCCCATGTGAACCTTTTTCCACCGCNCGCCTGGTGAGCATGTCATTGGCCGCCGGGATTGTGCGGTCTTAAGAGTCGGAAACATAGATATGTTCATTAAAAACATTTAGCGTTGTGAAATACATTGAGTATCACGCAAGAGCGTATTTTCATTCGGTAATAAGGTCAAATAAGCAGATGGGATGGGACCACCCTTAGCGCGTTAATTATGCCGTCCGATCCTTCGATAATTTTCGTATTGGGGAACCTTCAGGAACATTTTGTAATACGGAGTTCCCTTTTCGGCTACTTTTGCTGATCCCCCGATTGCTACAATTTTGATAGAACTTATCACAACTGTTTTCATTTCTGCGAGCGTTCAGTTTAACATGGAGACAACCCCAAAGTGCATTGCTCCAATGATTTTTCGACACTTCTTGATTTGTTGGTTCGTGATTTTTTCTAAACGAAGACATTGGTGAATTTGACTTGGCGATGCAGCGGTGCCGATCTAGGTGCTTGTGCGTTTTGTATGCCACCGGTTTGTTGTTAGGTTGATTTACAGTTTTGCATAAGTAGTGAGACATGTTGACATTGTTTCAAGTAAGTTGCTTTTCATCTCTTGATTGCCACCCGGAGACGTTAGAGTGGATCACAACTGCTAACGGTTTGAAAGTTGAGAATTCTACGGTCCGTAGAGCGAATATACGTCAATTTCTCATGATTGCGTTGCTTCTGGCTGTATTGTGCATTCTAGGTTCTGTCATCATCAAGAGATGAGAATTGATTGAAAACGAGTGTCCTGAGTACGCTCCACTCTTACGTAATGAAACCATTGAGTTCAACGTGTTTGTTTTAAAGTACGGGATTGCGCGTGTAGTAGATTAGCGGATGTCCAGGGGTGAGACCCGTATAAGGTCAAGTTTGGTTGGCGTGCATCTAACGGGCAATCACTCACTCCATTGCTCGTGTTTGACGATCCTGACAGCGTGGATGGCTTGATCCCACCTTATATGCAAATGGTCTTTTCGCAGGCTCGCTGTTGATTTCTCTTAATCTGAGGTGACTTCTGGTCGGGTTAAGTTCCAATGAGCATTAGCCACTTTTAGTTACTCTCTCGGTTGCCTTGTGAAGCGAGTGAAGCTAAGAGCGACCAGTTGGTACCTAATCACTTTATCCGCCTCGCCCTGAGGGATGTATATATTTCTCCTGAATACTTAATCCGCGCTAATACTCGACATGATTTTTCGCATCTTTCCACAGCAGTATTTATTCATCAAGGTTCCCATTTGAAAAATAATGGTTAGCGTACCCGCGAATAACAACCTTTCAGACCTTTCGGGGCCGAGAGCTGCTTCGTCAAGAGTGCACTTCCTATCCCTGATGGACGTGAGGCTACGTCATCCGATAACTCATGCAAATGCAAATGATGTTGATGTTTTTCGAACATAGATCACGATATAGAGTTGAACCCAGCCTTCATTTTCTCCCGAGGAACAGCTTGACGATGTTTTCCACTGAAACATCTTCGCAACCAAGGTTTCTATATTCTCCCTGATGTTGTTATCTGCCTGTGTGAATCACCCCAAACCTGGTTCGCGGTCGAGTGCGCCTGACTGGTCGACCTTGCTCTACGACGGGCGACAAGTACACCTTGTGCTCACGAAGGGATTTTCGTCAAGTGTTATTTCCACCTCTACCCAGTTTCCAGCATGCTTTTATTGGGCTCGTTGATTTTGCCGGGGTCTGTGACATGATCTACTATAAATCCTTTGAAACCTCTTTGACCTAATAGTTTCCAGTTTCGAGCGTGGTAACTGCTTCAGTGAGCTGCCTTTGGACAAGGATTGTGTTGAGTCTTAGGTGGTTCACTACTTTAAGTCCCAGAGTCTACCTCGCCGGTTATCGTTAGTGATCAGAGGGTCTTCGTGACTACATGGTTCATACTTTATTGTTAGTAATGCAACTGGTTCAAAACAGAGCAAAAACATATCAAGGACCAAACAGGTTGGTTCGTCTGATGGGCTTGTGTAGTAAGAGGCAGCAGCCAAAGCCGCTGCATGGTGTATGATTATTGGTTGTAGGGACTCAGCTGAACGTCGAGCTGTATCAGATAAATCAAATGCCGGTGATGCACAACGTCCTTTATACGAACATATTAACACGTGAGTACCAACATTTTCACATCCGGCTGTCTGTGAAGGGTCGAGTGTATGCTGCGACAGTTTGGCCAGTCCTGCTATGCAGTGCGGAAACTTGGCCATTGAGAAAACAAGATAAAGGCAGACTGTCGGTGTTTGAACACCCCTGCCTACGCAGCATTGCACGAATCTGGTGGGGTAGCCGGATGAGCAATGCTGAGGTTAGGCGTAGAGTTTTGGGTAAATACGGTCGCCCACTGGAGCGAATGGTCGACTTCCATAGATTACGTTGGCTGGAACATGTGCTACGCATGTCACCAGGTAGGTTACCAGGGCGAACGATGTTCGCCGAAGCAGACACCGAGTGGAAAAAAGCCCAGGATGGTCAAACTAAGACCTGACACGAGGGTGTGGAAACCCTAACCAGGAGACTGGGTCACATAGGTCTTGTTAGGCTCCCTGGATAGGGACCTCGGGATGATCGTAACCGATGCTTAGACACAGCCATATGGCTGGGTGTCGTAAACAGTGGCGTTCGTGCATCTCCTCGATTTCTTTGCAACCTTAGACCACTGAACTTCTCCATTTTCTTTTCGACTGTCTTTCTTCTCCTATTCTTCATCCAAATGGGCGGCCAAAAGACAGCAACCAAAACCGGCGCTCGAATATGCATGGTTAATGGTTGCTCAGACTGAAAACTGAAACATTTTCACTCTTGTTTTGTTAGTTATTCAATTGTTTGATCAGGCCTGGTGTTGACTTTCGTGATCCTTCCCTGAATGACACCCTTAAGGCAGATGAATATCCGCGAACAGCTGGTAGGATTCCGATCGGTCAAATCTTCATTCTGCGTTTACTCTAATTGCGCCACACAAGTTGCCGACCAATCGCACTGTCTTGACCTGAGAAGAGCCTTCCATCCAGTTGACCGTGATTCCCTTATGGGTGCAATCGCAAAGGCATGCCGCAGAAGTATGCAAACCTGTTTCAATCACTATCTGCATGCTTCTGGTAGCGTAAAGGTCTGCGATGGGCTGAGCAAGTCGTTCGAAACCAGGAGCGTTGTTCGTCAAGGATGCCCCATTTCGCCACTCCTGTTTAATTTCATCGTAGGCGAATTACTGGAGAACGCACCAAGTGGTCTCCAAAAAGTTGGTATTGGATGGAGAAAAGCTGTACGATTTACTGTACGCTGACGATATCGGTTGTCTGTGCGAATGTATGGAGGATGCCAATCGCTCTTGACCGACTTCTAAGTTCTCTAAGTCCATTCGGTATGCGTTTTGCACCTTGAAAGTTCAAAGTGATCCTACAAGACTGGGTGGCGTCTACCCATGCTTGATGGTCAAGAATTAGTTACGCGACAAATGATAACGTAGTCAAGGCAGTAATCGCCCGCATTTCCAGGGTACGAACAGCTCACATGGGGCCGAGACCGGTGCAGACATGGTGTTTCCTTGAAGCCGAAAGGCCGCCAGTGTGTGGTCAATCCTGCTTTATGGTTGTGATATCCTGAATTTGCGCGTGGAAGATATCGTCTAGAACTCTTCGACTGTCGGTGTTTACATAGTTTGGCGCGGGTTGGATTGAGCGGTCGTGTAAACAACTCGGGTAGGTCGTCGCGTGTTTGGTAATTATTCGGTTGAAAATTCGTTCTCTCAGGGTCCAGATGAGGCGGCTTCGCTGGTTAGGACACGTATTGCTCGTGCTCAGTTGTCTACCTAGTCGCGCCTTATTCACCATGGTGGTTCCAGGTTGGAGGAATCCACAGAGGTCAACAGTTGACGTGGAAACGAGGCATGAGGATTCTCAGAGCGGCCTGGTAAAGTGGGTGTCTCCCGTATTCCAGGCTGGAGTGCGAAAGACTATTTGGTTGGTTGAAGACACTGAAGGACGTGGCAACTAACCGACAGTAGGGGCGTTCTGATTGTCATTTCTTATCAGGTCAGAAATCGTGAAGAGGTATGCATGCACAGTTAGTTCTAGCTGTACAATGATGACGGTAAAGCTTCTCGACTCCTAAGGTAGTTTCGGCGAACTTGTGGTCGTTGTTGGATTCAATCGTCCGGATCAAAGCGTTCTGCATTACGGCTGGTCTCTATGATGTTTTTCCTGATTCAAAGCCATCCAAATTGGTGTCGCGTACCGTTGTGCCTTACCGACCTACCGAGACCGTGTCTGCGTCGCCACTCGAGAGGTAAACTCACTCACTAGAGTAGTTTTTGTTATTGAGCGTAATTTGAATCTCTTGCTATTCTTCTGTAGAAAGAACTTAGCCGAACTCACTAGCCATGTCGGAAGAGAAATGCCCAGTGTCTGAGGGAACAAACTTTGGTACGGTGCCGCTTCCTGCGTGATGCAAAAGGAAAGCGTATTGAATGCGAGGCACTTGGGGGAGCAGACTCCGATTTTTTGGTATCTAGCTCGTGAAATCTGACAGATCTTTATTATAAAGGTTATTTCACTGAGAATTGTCTGACAGAGGCGCCTGATTTGTGTGTTCGCTACCAAGTTGTCCAGGACAAGATAGGGGAATTTTCTTAGAGCATTCACAACCGTGGACTTAGGCTAAGCAAAGCCTGATCCGCGAGGCAGTGAGGCGGCACAAGAGAAACGCAATTCATTAAGGGCCTGTATACAGTTCATCGGGTTATGCTCTTTGGACGGGGTCAAACACCCGAAATGCCAAATAAACCGACGTCTATATAAGCTGGTGACCAATACTTCGACC